TTCTGTTTGTGCCCCCCCCCCCCGCCCCCCCCCCCCCCCCCCCCGGTGGATTGTATCGTGGCCTCGGTAGGATGCTGGGGGTGCTGGACTGCTAGGAGGGTGTGCTGTCACCCTGGCCACTTTTTTGGAATGGGGCCTGCCTGGCAACGTCTGCCTTGAAGGCTCAGAGGGCACACTGCCTTTCTTGGGAAAGTCCATCTCTGGGGACAGATAGAAGCGTTCGAGCTCCTGCCACACACATTCACTGGGCCAGCCTCTCGCATCCCTCACTTGATTGTCTTTCCCCTCCCGTGCCCCTGGCCAGCACTATCTGTAATTGCCTTTCAGTAATGGTCAGCACATGCTCCTGAGGGAAGTGCAAGATTGGGGTGTCACCTTGCACATAGTGCAGGGCAGGCTGGGGCAAGACAGCAGCATGGCCCTGTGGTATGAGGAGACCGGATGGTGAGGCATGGGGGATGCCCCTCCCTCTCTCCTTTGCTCACAGTCTAGCCTGGCTACCCCAGAGGTAGAGTTGCTGAGCAACTGTGGTGGGGTGTAATGACGTGCGGAAAACAGACTCCACAATCTGTAAGATTGTAAAGTAGGTATGTTTATTCAGCGCTGGGCAGCACGGGGGGGTAGTCCCACCAAAAACCGTGCGCGCCCCACGTGGCACTTACTTCAAATATATACAGCAAAGTGTTGTATATACATAAAGTTTAGCAATATCTCTATACATATGCATGATCTGTCCCCGCTTCGTATTAAAATGAGTTCTCTTCCCATCTGTGCTTGCGTGTTGTCTCCTGGTGGTGGTCGTCGGGGGTCGTGGGGATGAAGGCCGGTGGTTCCTCTTCGTCACTGCTAGTAACCTTTTGCCTTTGCGCAGGCTCCGTTGTTTTTTGGCTTCTATCCAAACCGCAGGGTCAGTTTGAGCTAGTTTCTTGAGGGAAGTTCTTAATTCTTATCAGGGACCGTCCTTGTGAGGAGCCACAAATCTTCTTGCTCTTTTCAGTTTATCAGGACTTGTCTTTGGGAGGAACTACAGTTCTCCTGTTTTAACTACTTTACACAATAGCTAACAAGATTTCAAGCCTTATCTACTAATTAACTGCTAAGACTCCCTTAACCCCTTCTCTCAGTAATGTATACTGTATGTATATGAGTGGCTGACAGGGGATCTGCTCGGGCCTGTTTAGGCCAGTCCTCTCCTGCTCCAGCCTAGTCTGTGATTGACAGCTCAGCACTTGTTTACCACAGTGCTGCTGCTCAGGCTCAATGGGACTGCTGATCTAGCAGGAAGGAAGTGAAGGAGGGATGAAAAAAACTTATGTGCAAGGAAAAGATGATTATCTTTTTAAAAAAAACAAGCAAACAAAAGCCTCCAAGTGTTTTGTTTTTTTTTAACAAAAAAGCATTATACATGTTGTTCTGCTCTTTGTGTATTGAAGATTCTTATTTCATCACATTATGCGCTGAGGATGCGTTTGTGTAAATAGTGTTCTAGTTGTTTTATATTCTTTGAATAGGTTTATTTCAGCATTTCTGGTACACTAAAGAAATTAAAGCATCAGCATTTTTGTAAGACAATGGGAACTAAAAAAAAAAATCTTAAAATGTATCAACATTCCTTCATGATGTTTCAGACTGTTAACAATAGGTAGTGTGTTTTTGCATAATCCCGCGATAGGGTTGGGGTAGTAAAAACCCATTTTGTGTATGAGATGCTCAATTATTTTCTCTAAATAACTTTCTATTTTGATGGAATCAGCATTTTTTTCTGGTTTCATGGTAATTATATCAGAACAAACCACAAACTTGTTGGAGCATTTAAAGCAATACAAGGAATCATGACTATAAACCAAGGTCAGCTTTCCTGTTGAAATTAGGAAATGTTTGGGTCTTTGCTATCCAAGCAAAATGGAGCTAAACTTTGAATTTTTGATACATTAGCTCTAAACAACATTAATCGGAGAGCTTTTCACCTTTCATGCTCTTGAATTTGTTTGGTACTTTCTAGGTGGTGCTTGTGTACTTTTTAAAAAATCGATTTTTGGACACTTGCTAGACAGGAGATAGAAGGAAGCTGAATTACTAAATTTAATCTATTAGTATAGCAGACTTAGTATTAAGATCACTTTGATAGTATTAGAGAGTCTATTTAAAATGAATTAGACTCTCTAATACTATTAAGTTTTAACTAGAAATCATATTGGAAAACACAGTTTCCGTTACAGATCTTTCAGGCAGACCCTGAAATGGCAGCAGTTACAACTATGTCAGTACTTGGAATCAAGATCATAAATTAAAACCAGTTAACTTCTGCTTTTTATGTAAGGTGAATCTTGGCATCTCACCTGACCTTAACAATTCTGCAGCTACACATCTAGCAGTTAATACAAATGGACTGGAGAGACTTGTTTCTGGGACACAGTGTTCTTAGTATTGTAAAGAATGTATAAATCCCTCTTACTCTGGAAAAGAAACCTATATAATATACTATGCTGAAAGGGTTAAAATACCTGACAATCACTGGCTAAGACCTTAAACATGTAACTTCTTGCCTGACAAGATTAAACTGACCTTGAGCAAGCTCGTTAGGCTTCCTGATAACAGGAACTCAGGACATTTGGGCTGAGATAAGCACCAAAGAACTAGTTTAAACTGACCCCCTTGTAACATTCTGAGGCCGAAAGACTGATGAGCTAATTCAATGACTATATATGGAGAAAGGAAGCCCAAAATTCAATTAACGGACAGCGTGAGGAAGACTCTGGATGACCACCGGAGGGTGAAAAGACCCTAACCCTAATTTTACTGCGCATGCTTGGACTATGTAAATGAATTCCAGGAACTCATCACCATAAGACTGCTCTTTCCAGGAGATCTGATGAATACGTATGATTTTTCTGTATATGAACTGATGTGCTTTACTAACCCATTGGAGCACTCATGGTGGAGCGATCCCCAGTGCTGCCCAGCGCCACAATAAAGAATGCCTGCCTTCTGAAACCTCAAACTAAGTGTTAGAGGGTTTTCTTGCCAACTTTTTCGGTATCAGTGCTGTGTAAAACGTTCAGAGGTGGAATATCATATTGGGTTTTTCCCTCCTAGATGATGACAATTCTGAAGAAGGCCTTCACACCATTTATTCAGGAAGGCATGAATATGCATTCAGCTTTGAACTTCCACAGATGTAAGTACTTATATGCAGTACACTGCTGGTGTGAGAGAAGGCTAAGATACATACCCGCTTAAGAAAAATTCTTGTGGGTGGAGGGGAAACCTTTTCAATGGTAGTGGGGGTTGTGCTCAGACATGCAATAGAGGACATAATCTCATTAAACTGAAGAAGTTGCTTTTAAACTGGCTAAGAGTTTTTCACAGAACGGGAGCTCATTGTTGCCCAGTTGGTTACTCTCTCTTTTGACTGAGGTCTATTGACCCATTATGTCTTGTAGTATTTTACCCCTTCACAGGAGAAGGCGGGGGGAATTTGTGGCATTTGGGTCCTGCAGAGTGGCTGAGGTATCTTCTAAATGATTTAGAAGAATGAATGAAACAAGATTTTACTGGAGCCATGCAGGCCATCAGAACTAGTGATAACAGCTTAACTGTTCAGGCTCAGTCTGAAACAGATGTGGCAAGCTTAACCACATTTGAACAAAATAAGAGATTATTTTTTTCTAGTTTAAATAGGATGCATGTACTCAGGCTGACCTTTATGCAGAAAGCCAGGATGGAAATAAGCAAATGGATGGGTGGATGAAGCAAGAAATATTCCCATACCTAATCCTGCTTGTCTCGGAAAGCAAAGGTGAAGCAAGAGTGATAGCAGAAGTCTTAAGATAAATTGCCACACACACGCGCGCGCACGTGAGTTTGAGGTGTCTAACGTATACATTGTGAAGGGAAGATTTATACATAGAGGAGTTACCAACATGGAAATCAGCTAAAACACAAGTTGCAGGAAAATAAAGGAACAGAGGGAGTCTGGAAATAGATGAAAGAAGGGAGGCAGGAGGAGCCTTTTACTGTAAGAGCCAAGCGCTGAAGTCATTAAGGTTTAAAAAAAGTTGGCAGAATATTAGCCTAATACCTAATATTAAAGCTAATAAACCATCTGCTTATTAGAGGGGCTGGCTTTAGCGGAGCCTGTAGATGATAAATGCTTTTATGGATCAGTTTCAGTGAATAGCACAGGGCTTTACAGTAGATATTATTGGAACACTGAAGGAGACCCAAATATATGGAGACTTCTAGAAGTCAGTTTAAAGTTCAGATGAAAATCTCTTCTCAAAGAAGTGATAAGGATGATACCGATATTCCCTTGAGTTGGAAGGGATGTTCAAATATGAAAGAACAAAGCAGTATATGTGATATGGAATATTATTATGTTTGAGATTAGATAGATGACCAGTAAAATAGCACTAGCATTGATTAAAACACTAAAGTTCTTTTCAAGTGACTTGAAGGAATAACTATGAAGTCATCTTTGATAATACTGGAAAAAAATGATGCCTGGTAATAAAAGGCCTGAAGAACACTAGTTTGACACTGCCTCCATACTGTTTCTGGCTATTTTTGTATCCATAGAATATTTCTAAAATTTATTTAAAACAAAACCAATGTGGTGGGTTGACCTTGGCTGGCTGCCAGCCCTCCATGCAGTTGTTCTCTCACTCCCCCCCCCCCCCCCCACAGGCACGG